GCCCTCTAACTAAACTCCCAACCTCTCTTGCCCCTGGATTCAAACAGAGAAATATGTAGAGAGGAGCTCCGGGCTGAGCAATTGACATGCCTGATGTAGGTAGATACGTAGTTGGTCGAAGTAAACCAAACCACACCCTGCCCCTTGACCAATGATCGCCGGCCTAACGAAACTAGTTAACCAGAATAAGAGCATAACTTTTACCTACTATAGATTCAGGGAGTTTGGCTTTTTGTCGATAAGGAAGAAGTGGTCTGATTCTTGTTAACCTTTTTTCTCCGAATCCCTCCCTGCCTCACTTTCGCATGCGGAGATGGCTCCGACCCTCACTCCCAGATGTGCAATAAAAAGACCTCAGGAAAGAAAAAGAGGAATAAAAAAAAGTTCATTATGTCTCTAGATGGATACCTTACTAGGGTTATGATGTGCTGCTACTCCAGTCTTGTCTTGCTTTCCAATGCCATGCTTGTCCTCACGTACAAAACATCCCAAATAGGCAGTGAGCGATGCCTAATCGGGAGCCCGAAGGAGACTGTAGTAGTTAGAGGCGGGACAGAGAAAAAAAAAGCCGTTGCGCCTTGCCTTTCCGGGCTCGGCAATCTCTAGAGCCCGGTTGGTTGGCGACGCATTCCTTTGGCTATGTGTGATATACATGGTAATGCCTGAGCTATAATATCTACTTATACATTCAAACTGCTATGGATTACCCGCCGCTATGTATTATAGGATTGCGGGAACAGAACCAAAACCCCTCCCCTCCTCTTCTTCCCCTCTCGTGATTTTCCTCGTGACCTTTCATGGTCCCCGTATATTTATTGATTTTCAGACTTTGTCGGTTACCCGAGAAGACGGGTTGGGCTATACTTTGCGAACGGCGATACCCGCGAAATCCGATGATGGACGCGCACGTGGGTCCGAACCCCCCTCCCCTTCTTGCAAGGGAATGGTTTATCTGCGGTTGTCAGCAATCGAGTACTAGTTTTATGTGGTCCTATATCGCGGGAAGACCCTGGTATATATCAAAAAGGGTTATAAAACGTTGTGGTATTACGAACACGAGAGTGCATTTTGTATAAAAATAATACTCGATGTATGAAGCATTTATGTTTCAAGTATATTGAGGACAATGCCATGACCCGTTGGCCACTTATGTACTTATAAAGGTGGTTTATACCTGTTATTATATTTACTTATATATATGCCCCATTTACTCAGACAAATAGAAAGGCCATTATAATCAACCTTCAAATAGAAGCTGGTTTTCTCAGTGAATCGAAAAAATATCGAAACAAGAGTTGGGGATTTTAGGATCATGGGATATAATAAAAGGCGGTTTGTACGTTCAGAACATCAAAGGCATTGGTTATGTATAAGGCACGGTACTTTGGATATGATGTGGGTTCTCGTTGTAGCAAAGCTCTAATCACTGCTTCATGGCAGTAAGCAACCAACGACTAACATGCAATATCGAACATGTAGCGGTGGGTGGGTCCGGCTTCCGGGTCCTAAGCGCCCGCACTCTGTTGTACAACTGGGGCCGGGCAACCGTTTTCTCTCAAAGGGAGCCGTCGAGGACCCCGGAAGATCTGCTCATCCTGCTCCGCACGATGCCGTACATTATACGACCACACCCTTCCGCATATAATCTTACAGCTTGCGTGCCTTGCTACATACCTTAAAGTTAAAACAATGTAGTACGTAACGTACCTAAACCCACATCTAAAAGGGCTCGTCACATTATACAACTTTATACACAAGCAGCCCCCTTTGCTTCTTCTCTTGCTTTCTCCTTAATAGTTGCACTTGTCCTCAAGCGCCCAACTTGCCTTTGCCCCAACTTGTCTCTTGGCTCATCAGAATCCTTCTTATATCTCAGGAATGTAGATATTCGGTAAAGAAGAGGAGATCTGTATTATTGATAAACATACCTAATATAATCCGATTTCATCATTTGCCATATCTATAATCTTGTATCCCGCGTAGGTAGCGGGAGACAGAGAAAGATAATGCAAGAATCACCGAACAGAAGGCATCCTCTACAATGTGGAATTCAAACATGGAAGCAAGAGTCCCAAGGTTAAGGCTTACCTGCCTGTCCGGCACTACGCACAAAGCGAGGAAGCAATTATCTCTGCTCTAGACGCACATCTGTGTAACACCAAGTCCTCGAATAGAGCCATTATAGTCAACTATACGGATTATGTAGCCAGCTACACTACCTTCTTCTCTGAGACTCTAGGTATAGGTAGGTCCCCCACCTGAATGAGGCTGTAGAACTGTAACCAATGGCGAGAGCCTTTCTTGTTAAGTGTGGTCAGACAGTTGCGGGTGCTGGCAGGGATCTGTTCATGTCCATTGCTGCAAGATTGGTCTAACCTATAATCTGTATTACCAAGCTAATGCGGGTAACAGGCTGTTGGTTCAATGTGGGCCAACCATTCAACTCCTATATCTAGTATCCCTATATGTACCTCTACCTATTTGAAGTACTTTTCCCCATCTTTCCTTTTCTCATATTTCCTTAGGGATTTGATTCAATAAATCTTAACAACAAGCCACAACAGGTCGGGACCCCATTGAAGACACAACACCATGGCTGCCACAATTCTCATCACAGGAGCCACTGGCCTCATCGGCTTCCGCATTCTTCTCGCCGCCCTTGCTGCCGGCCATAGCGTACGCTATACGGTGCGTTCAGAAGACAAAGCCCAAATAGTTTCCTCAAACCCTGCAGTCAAGAAGCTTGCACCTGGCAATCGTCTTTCTGCTGTTGTTATTCCTGATTTTACTATTGATGGCGCTTTTGACTCTGCCCTAGTAGGCGGCGTCACTCACATTATCCACGCGGGCACCCCCGTGGCCGTACCAACCTACGACCCCATAACCCAAATCTTCCAGCCTACCGTGAATACCACCTCCTCTCTGCTGTCTTCTGCGCTTAAAACCCCAAGCGTCCAACGTGTTATCATTACCTCGTCCATCGTGGGCAACCTGGGCCACCCCTCGCCAGCCACGAGCGTCTCAGCCGTCAGCGTCTCAGCCGTCAGCGTCTCAGCCGTCAGCGTCTCAGCCACCACGCGCCCGCTACTACCTAACCCGCTACCTTCTACCTTTAGCGACGTTTTTGAAAGCTACATATTAGGCAAGATGGTTGAGCTGCACAACACAGACGAGTTTGTTAAAACGCGTAACCCTCACTTTACTGTGTCGCACGTAGTGCCAGGCTACGTATTCGGGCGCAACGAGCTCGCGCTCGACGCCGCCGCCATGCAAACGCAGAACAGCTCCAACAACTTCCTCATGGTAGGCCTACTGGGCCGTACGCTGCCCATGCCCCTCCACGGCAGCTTCGCCCACGTTGACGACGTGGCCGACATGCACCTGCGTGTCGCGTTCCTGGACCCCGCAGCGCACAGCGACCTGCCCCAGGACTTCGGCATCGCAACTAAGGTCGACTACGCAACGTTTTTCGACCACGTCAAAAAAGCTTTCCCTAAAGCCGTAGCAGCAGGCGTGCTAAAAGAAGGCACGGTGCCAACGCTACCTGTAAACTTCGACGCGAGCGAGTCGGAGAAACTACTGGGCCGCAAGCTGAAGAGCTTTGAAAGCGCGGTGATAGATGTGGCGGGCCAGTATCTAGAGACCATGGGCGTGGAAAAGGCGTGAAGAAGCATCGGGATGTAACAAAAAAATTAGTAGAGCAAAGAGATGGAGTTAGTTGTAACTTATATCGATTTGGAATAGATGTTGATATTCGGTGGCAGTACGCCATACAGCTTGTCAAATATTGGAGCAATATGATTATGATATTAAAAGTAGATTCGCCTACCTCTACTGAAATAGCTTATATTTGGCATATACTCTTTCCATCTTCAAAAGATTCTTAATATTAATGTGGCGAGGGACGAGACGATATATCTGGTGCTTTCCACGGCATGAAAGAACAGGTACTACCGTGTGCAAGGCAAGGTATATCTTAGGTAGTTGTCGTTTTAACTTATTACGTGTCAATTATGTTCATTTCCTGAGCTTTATACTAGGTTTTTCCCGATAGACTGGCTTGGATGTTGGTATAGTCTTCTTTCTACCCCTATATACCTTAGCCTTTTTCAAAGGAAAAGAAAAGAAGAAAAATCAAGTAATATACGAAGATGACAGAATATACCTACATAATCTAGCTTATGGTAATCTGGCTTTACGTTCACCGTGCTGATTATATATCAGACATTACCCATCATACGTATGCGTTGTTGATCATTTGTATGTATGGTCCGATCGACCAGTAGGTTATAAAGTTTGGTTGGGGCCTGATCGACTTATGTTACGCGTTTCAAGATTGTCCCGGCGCCGTGGTGATGATCGCTCGCTCGTGCGTTTGTTACCACGCTGCCGGGTCAAAGCTGTGGATGGTGTAAACCGTTTATATAAGTGTTCTCGATCGATTGTATGGGCACGTGGATACAGTTTCAACGAGCCTTGTGTGTCAGTACCATGTTACAATACTTACACCACCTTGGGGTGAATACCTTGATAATACTTCTAGATGTTTACATGTATAGTGACGAGCCACAACCGGACAGGGGAGTTTTGAATATATATATATAAATAAGAGCTCTATACCTCTAAGTACCTAGCTTGTGTAAAATAGATGCGGACTCTACATGGTAGGCAGTAAGTGTCAGGTGCTTATCTATCATATGTACCTAGTAATGCCTTGTGTAGAGAATCACTCATACTACCTACAGCACCTACCCACCTATCTCCCTAATGAACCTATCAGCACTATGAAACAACAGAAGAAAAGGGGGAAGGGGCGAGCAGCGGTAATCTTATCTTTAAGGGATATCTCGGCAAAACCATGGGCATATGGGAGGATAAAGTTTAGGTGGTAGAACTGGGTCAGGTACGCTGTACAGCTTGTATAGCCACCCAGTAGAACTCACAACCACTACTACCTTATATATCATTTTAAGGCAAGTAAGCTTTCAACAAACAAGTTGGGGCTCGTGGTTTAGTGGTGTAAGCTCTCACATCATCCAAACCAAAGAAAAAAACTTGCTGACCTAGTGATTACAGATAATACTCCCTTAGCATATTGCAAGAAATTGGGAGTGGTCCAGGGTTCGATTCCCTGCGAGTCCATTCATTTTTTCTTTTTCTTGTTCTTTCGCCTTTTCTCTATTTTTTTTATTCCACCCTTCTCTTCAACTTTCTTTTCCATTAATAGCGACTTTATTGTAGATGACCTTTTATGTTTATACTATATGCATTTTTTTACATTTATTTTCAATAAGATTCTGTTAATAAGAGCATCGCATTTCGTATAATATGAAAAAGAGAAATATGAGTATATGTTGAATATTTATAGAGAAAGAGAGAGAGAGAGAGATAAAGGTAAGTAATACTTTATAAGCAAATGATTTAATATCTCTATATGATGATGATGATGATGATGATGATGATGATGATGATGATGATGATGATGATGATGATGATGCATACGGAGTACTGTACCCCTTAATCCACGAAACTCCATGTAATACCTAGTCTCTTTAATCATTCCTCATATGCTAAGAAAACAAAACACGATCCTGCCGCCAATACCAGCCGAACAATTCTCTAATCCAGGCGAATAACCAACTCCTCTCTTGTGCTAACCCATCCCCCCATCCATCCTCGCTATATATCCATCTCGTTCACTTATTTTCACTTGCGCTTCTCGATCCCGCACGTCTTCAAACACTCCTCAACGCCCAGGGCCACGTTCTCGCTCAGCAAGCCGCGGAAGCGATCCACGTCCGCCCCATCGATCTGGTTCCCGGCAGCGGCGCGCACCGTGTCGACGCCGAGCGCGAGGTAGGCCTGGGCCATGGTCTCGACGCCGGGGTCGTCGCTCGAGAAGGGCGCGACGAAGACGGCGTCGTCGCAGTCGGGGTTGAACTGCGAGTGCAGGGCGCCGGGGTAGAAGGGCGTGGCCTGGAGCTCGGCGAGGGTGTTCACGACGTTGCGCGGGCCCGCGGCACCGCCGTTATCTGGGGACGGGGCGGTGGCGCCGTTCTCGAGGATCATCTCCGACACCACGCGCCCGCGCGTCACGACCAGCAGCTCCGTGGCCCGGTTGTGCACGTGCGGCGTGTTGAAGCCGCAGGGCCCGAGGAACCCCACGGCCATGCCGACGCCGCTGCGCGTCAGCGCCGGAAAGGTCTTGCGGTTCGCGAGCACGATCTCGCCGCCTTGGCCCGGGCCGTTCTTGCGCGCGCCGCTGAAGTCGAAGAGGAAGTCCGTGTTGGAGGTGAGCACGTTGTTGAGGGCGTCGGATTGCAGGTCCGAGAGCAGGATTTGCTGGGTTTTGGAGAGGCCCGAGAGGGGTCCGCTGCTGGATGGGGCGGGGGATGCGTTGGCGGTAGCGGTGGAGCTGGAGGGAGAGGAAGAAGGGGAGGAGGATGGTGATGAGGATAGAGGAAGGGGTGTGGTGGTAAGCTGTGGTGCGGCGGAGGAGACCGCGCAGAGGGCCAGGATGGCGGAGAGAATGGCGGGCTTGAGCATTTTGAGCTGGTGGGATTAAGGATTATCCAAAGTGGAAGAGTTTTCCAAGGAGAGATTGTAAAGCGGTGATGGATAGTCTATAGACAGAAAAAGAAACGAGATTCTAAAGATTAAGTACCTAACCCAGCAAGAGAAAAGAAAATGAGAGAGGAAAATGTCGAATTATGATGATGATGATGGTGATAGAAAAGTTTGTTTCTTGCGAAACTGCATTCATTTATATATATTTACAACCTACGATGAACACGATGGCATTCGGGGCGATGAGCCCAACCAACCAACGAGTTTTGCATACTTACCTGCCTATTTCCCATCAAAAGAAGAGCTCACTGCGGCGTTGCTGATGGAAATGTTTGTTCCCAAGGAAACATTTCCTTCCGGGAGGCTGTGGGAGGACGGAAGTCGAGTTTTCCGGGTCCGCCGTGCCGTGAGCGATTGGTTGTTTAGCAGGCGTCGGCCGACCGCACGGCCGGGGGATGTTTATTCGTGGCGGAGGTGGGAAAAAGAGTAAAAATAGCTTAGACAAACACCCCGACGTGACCAATCATATTGAGTCGTTTCTCTGTCTAAACGCCAGGAACCCAACGAGCCAATCATGAGAATAGCTGCGCTTATTCCGCCCCCAAATAACGCATGCCAACTTTTTCTTTTCCTTTTTTTAAGTGTTGTTAATTGCTAATAATGTATAACACGTGCATCATGAAGAATCAAAAAACTGGTTATGGCACATAAGTCTAGGATGTCATGAATATAGGCACGATTTAGGTATGGTGTAATTAGTTTGGATTCTTTCGCAGGCATTTGTGATTTGAGAGTTGAAATCTACAGCGTAATCTGATGATGGTTGTTGTTGTTTTTTTAATCGCAAAACACCAATTTGCATAGTAATACATCACAACATTAAAATGCTACGATGCATGAGATGTATCACTTTCGGCATTGGTTAGCAGCTCTAGGATGTCTCGGTTTGTAGATTGTATTTAGTAAGAGAGACCGTCCCTTTGCCGGCGCAAGTAACTCACTTCGGCGATATCTTCCCAGGGTGGATTCGCTTGCTTCCGAAAGGCACTCTATTATGAATTTTATTTTTTTCATGATTAGCCGGCGGTATTCTTGTGATTGCCGAAAGGGGAAAGTCCTTGGACGCTTGGGACCGGATGGACGGTCCTAACGAATTAGCTTGGGTTGGGTTAGTACTATACCAGGCGGCATTGGCCGAGACGGTCTTGTATCCAATAGCACAACCGCTAGCAGAGACTTAGTAAAGGTCTTATAGCCCACTGGCTTCGGCCAAAATATAGTGACCATTTAAAGCGTAATTTGGCCATGGGGAGACACGGAATCAATTGCTTCCACCCCCTTACGTGGCGAGGAGATAATGATGGCAGGAAAAGCCCGAAAGACAGCTGGAGCACCTCGAACTTCATAGAACCACGACTGTGGTTTGGATGGCTCTCTTTTCCATAACGACTCTATAAGAGAGCCGGGCAGTGCTTAGTAATTTCCTACAGGTATTATATATAACCTAATACGATGAAAATCATTAAGATGTCTTATGTTGACGTAGGTACCAGACCCAAGGATATCGATGAGGTTGAAGTTTGTTTCAAAATTAACAAAATTAGCTGTTTGATTTATTTCCCCAAAGACAAGTTCTCGGTGGCGCTAATACCGCAGATCGAACAACTCAGAACAGAACGACTCAGTTGAACAGAATTAAGACAGAACCGGTGTTCCATCAGGTGGGTTTCAGAAGTGCACGTGGCTAACAGTAACTAAACTCCGGTAATCTTGTTGCTCTTATGGAATTTGTTGGTGAGCTCCTCGAGCCTCAAAATAAACGTCTTACTTACATCTACACTCGTTATGCATTTATTTTCAACTAAGGGAGGGTAATCATGATAATGATTTTCATCATTGTGCCACGTACGTAGGAATTTATGCATCCAGGAAAAGCAACAAAGAAAAAAGAAGAGGGGAACGGTGGAATACATAGTTCTCTCTAATTCTTCAGGGGTGTAAGTGATGCGATGATTGCATTTCCTAAAGCACTCACAGAGGAGCCCTAGCGGTGTACATTCCGGTCAGATTCTGTGTTCACCCCCCTAGATGTCTATGTGTGTGCATGTATGTAGGTTACGGAGTAATGTCCAGAGATTGCATTCACAGGGAAGTTTAAATCTTCTAGATTCAGATTACTAGTACTAACTTTGACTCACGGTACCTGCATGATGCAGTCGTAGCGAAGATGGCAGATGCAACCGCACGTTGACGCCGCCCGGGTACAGATGCAGATGCATATGCAGATGGGAAAGGCTCATCAGTCTGATTGGCTTGAAACAGGTGGTTAGGTGAGATAAAACGGAATGGCTGAGAGAAACAAAGAAAATAAAAACATATCATAGACGCGCTACATACAAAAACTACATTACAGCGTTGCAATAAGGATGCGCCGTAATCAATCTAGTGTGTCTTCGACGGGAAACTCTGCATGAAGTACCGGTGTAGCCAATAACCGATGAATATTCGCATGGTTTCTTATTCTACGTGGACCTGCGCTCCGACAGACACGTACATGGAACAAAATATGCAACAACGCAGATTAAATACCTACTTCATCACCCATACCCCAAAGTTCCCAAGTTACGCATCGACATTTTTTGTGATGTAGTACCGACGTCCGTGTAGTTGTAAGGGGGTAGGGGAGGGGGGAGGGCATGGGATGGGATGGGGAGAGAAAGGAAGATGAGGATGAGGAGGAAGAGGAGAAGAGGGAAAAAAAAAAATAATATAAAAAATAACATAGAAAAAAAGAAGAAAAGCGTTGTAAATCCGGGGCTAATTACATAGTAACCATGTTTGGTGTCCTACACCCCCCGGGCAAGGCCAGGTAAAACTCGCTGCCTTCGATAAATAGCACATGGGTTACATGTGGTCTAAGGGGAGATGCTAGACCGCACAGGCCAGCATCCATAGGGTGATGTGCTAACTATGAATAGCCTAGACCAATTTGGCGAATCATTTAGTGGTGTCTTGGCGATTCGTTGGAACAGAGTAATTTCGTTTCTGGCACTAACCGATCCATCGCACCCGTCTCATTGGCTCACACTCTGACATGTTAGTCCCGATTGAGCCATGTCGAATTGTCGATCGTCGGGAGGTCCTGGTCAACGCGCTGAAGGGGGTATCTTGGGGCTGATGAGGGTAGGGGGGTACCTCATCCACTTGCCTACGACTTATACAAATTGTACACTATGTAGTACCTAGTATATACCTAGTTGTAATTGTAAGTGGTTGTAAGAACTCCTTCTCACCTGTTAACCACTAACCACTACCTACTACTTACACACCACGATCCTCTTTTTCTTCTAAACCCTTTCCGCTTTTCCTCACCTTCATGTAGTTTTTCTCCTTTTACACTCGTTTGACGCTTTCGGGAGATTTGTCTCCTTTACATTCTTTTTTTATACACATCTTCGACTTATACACTCGTTTACCTTGCAATTGCTCGGGGGCGCAATTGCATTGCGGTTTGGTTGGCTGTTAGTTACCTGCTAGTTTTTTGCTGTTGGTAACGGGAAAAACCCCCATACACA